TACACTAAAATACAATTCTTACATTTGGTATAACATCTTTCATGTCAGGAGGACATCTCGAAGCGCTTCACAAGGTTTATTGTGAAGTGTAGTGACTGTGTGACTTCAAGGCATGTCTCAAGACCCTCCTCTTCAACCACATGTTTGGTCACCCTCCTACTCGTACCCTAACTGCCTTCCACCCCTCCTATTCCCAACCCCCTGCTCGGGTTTAAATCCCTGACTGGGACATCCTCCGGACAAATGTAGTTTGTTGTTATTGTTGTATTTTTTTGGCAAACTCAGCAGCCAATTTGCACAAGCAATGTCCAACAAACAGTAATGAAGTTAAACATTATATAATATATTATAATAACACAAATAGTGCCATGAAATATTTATTGTCCAATTGAGAAGGCATAGAGACCTCAGTTTAACGCATCATCTGAAGGATGGCACCTCTGATGATGCAGCTCGCTCCTAGGCCCTCAGTTCAGTGTCAGCCTATACAAATTAAAAGCCCTGTTTAACCCACCACCTCCTGACTCAGAGATGAGAGTGCTACCAACTGAACCAGGCAGACACTGCATATCTATCTGTGATTTGTGCAATATAAAAAATGCATGAGGCAGCAAACGTGGAGCCTCCATCCCCACATCACCTGGAGGAGGTAGTTTCAGGATCAGAGCAACTTGTACTTGCGTATTATAAATAGAATGAGTCTGAAGATTATTTTCCCTTTGGCTAGTGAAGGGTCTGTAAGATAGCCCAGAATTTTCAATAGTTTTTTTTAATGTTATTAAAAGAGCCAACTTAGCAAAGAAAAATAAATACCTGATTTCTGGTAAATACCAAGATTCATAAATGCAGAGCATTAAAATGCAGTACAGTATTTGTTTTTTTTGTTCTTTTTATTCAGTGTAGTTTTGAAAGAGAAAAGGAAATCTAGCTTCCTTCTCCAATAAGCACTGCATAATACTCCAAATATGGCTTCACTGGTGCCTAACCTATGGTTAGAATTACTTCTTCATATTTAAGAACCCAATGGTGGAACGGGCAAGGCAGGGGACGTGAAGCAGGCTGGAACCCGCTGAGTGGAAGAAGTGGGCAGGTTGGTAGGGGGTTAGGAGGTTGCAGAGGTAGGGGGGAACAAGGCCTTGGAGGGCTTTGAAGGTGAGGTCCAGGATCCTGAACTGTATCCTCTGTGCGATGGGAAGCCAGTGGAGTTGGGCGAGGATGAGGACAATAGGGTCACGGAGCCTAGTGCGGGAGAGGACACGGGCTGTAGACTTCTGGATAATCTGCAGCCTATGGAGGGAGGAGTTCGGGAAATCGACAAGCAGAGAGTTTGCATAGTCAAGCCTGGATGATATGATTGCGTGTATGAGGGTTTCTGGAGCCTGGTGCAGTACCTTTCACGTCACAAAGTGCTTCACAGGATATAGTGTAAAATGGATCGATTGTGCTTTTGGACGAACGTAACAGCCAATTTGACCAGAGCATTGTCCCACAAACATCCACAGAGTGACTGCTAGTTTTATTTAGAGGATTCTTGGCCAGGACACCAGGAGAGAGAAACTCCCTTCTATTTTTGAATCGTGTCATAAGATCTTTAATGTCCACCTGAACAGGCTCATCCGAAGGACGGCACTTCCAACAATGCAGTACACCCCCACCACTGCATTGGAGTATCATCTTAGACTACATGAGTTCCAAATCCCAACATGGGGCTTGATCCCACAATCTTCAGTAGTGAGACTGCTACCAACTGAGCCAGGCTGACATACATCAAATTATAATCCAATACATTCAAGATGTAATCTTGAATTTGTGGTCTATTTTACAAATAAACACGTGCGCACAAAGGGTGCTCTTAGTTTTGTAGTAAACAACTAATACAGAGGATTGTGTATGGGCTCATATCCAAACAATTTTATACAAAGGAATGAACAGTAGGGAACCCAGATCAGAGCTTGTGGAATTCCACTAGTCACAACTACCCAGACCTTTCTATTATCACCACCTTCTGATTCCTGTTGCTAAGGCGGTTTTCAGTCTAATTAATTTACCCTGAATTTCATGAGCCTTAACTCGATTTCTTGTCTGTATTTGCATATAGACAGGAATGGCATTTCAGGGTGACAAAGCACGTTTCTTCAACAATAGGGCTTCAGTTTATAAAGTAAATGGTCTGAATGTATTTGTATAAGCCAGATGCTCAGTAGTGGTTTGGAGTTGCTTGCTGCAGCTTCCTCACTGAGCAATTTATCAGCAGGACTGCAATGTGGAGCTATACCAGACACATTGAGAGCATTAAAGGGTCATTCAAATTTCCTTTCATCTAAAAATAAATGTAAACTGCAAAATATCCGTTCACACAATAACCTCAAGCTGGCAAGTTTGTTATTAATTTGAGAACAATGGATACCTTGGATTGATTACAAAATGGTATTTTTAAATCATAGGATTTGTGTGACGTCATGAGCTCTGAGAGCAAAGATTAATGAGTTTATAAAAGCGTATGAGCCCAGAGATTGCATTGCTGCCTGACTATCCATTTTAAAAATATATGTTCATTTTATTAGAGGGAATATCTGCTTTTGAGCTGATAGCTTAGATTTAGATAGCGTAGATTGCTTAGCACACCCCCGTGCCCTTGAAATATGACGGTAATCTCACCGAAGCAATAGTCATTGTGATATAATTACTCCAAGTTGATTGAGAAATACTTGGCATTCGATCATATGCAAATGATATGGCTGGTATCTGCCAGAATGCAGCTTTATTAAGAACTTTGTTTGATTAATAGCTGCATTGTTCTGAACTTTGCAGAGAGAAAATTTAGGAAGTTCCCATTTACCATTTGTTTCAGTTGACATTCACATAGCAATATTTATCTGCTCCAGGTAGAAAAGAGGTTCAAAGAGAAAATATTCCACTCAAGAAGATCAAGGTCCTCGACCCATATCCATAGGCTGTGCGGATTCACTTGAAATTTTAATTATCAAACTAAAAGGGTTTGAAATAATTGGATGATTCCACTAATCTACCTTTGTTTTTCAGTCTTATTCAATTTTTGTTTGGCTTTTAACCTCTGGCAGGACTGAAGCTGAATGCTTTAAACAATCATGCTGCCCTTTTCCATAAGGAGATCAATAGCAGTGCTTAAGGGGGAAGTTCACTCTAATTAAATGTGGCACACGTAACCCCAAATGCTCTTAAAGGAAATGCCTAACTGACACTTACTGGTGTCTGTCACCAATGGCTACCTTTCGTTGCCATCCATCTAGTTTGGGATTCTGTAATTTGGACAATTATTGGATAATTATAATCAATCAGCAATAAGGCACGCAATAATTAGCAGATATTTTAAGAGCCCAGATTTAAGATAAGCATAAAAATAATAATAATAATAATATTATAAAAATAATTAAAAGGGAAGTTAGGAAAAAAAAAGAAAAAAATTCTTTGAACAGAGAGGTTGGAATGTAAATTCTCTACCACAAATGATTGTTGAAGCTGTGTCCTTTTAATTCCTTTTCAATAGGAATTAGATAGATGCTTGACAAAGAGAAATATTAAATGCCACATGGTGTGAGCAGGAGAGGGGATTAGGTTGGATGGCTCGTGGGCAGAAAAACACAGCACAGACTCAATGGGTCAAATGGTCTGTTTCTGTGCATAAGTACAATGATAAACACCATGGCATTAATTACGCTTCATAAGAACAGTGTCTTAAGAGCTCACGGGAAATTTGGTCCTTCTTAATCTTTCTACATATACATCTTTTAATGATAATAATCCTTGCATTTGATATAGCGCCTTATCACGTCTTTGAGGTGTGTCAATGTGCTTCACAGAATATACTGTAAAGTGAATTGACTGTATTTTTGTGGCCGAAACCTACCACAAGTAGGGGCTGATGATAAAAATGCTTGAACTGTTCAAGGAGCAGTTTCCAAAAACTACCTTGATGTGCCAAATACCCCTCTATGATATCTAATCTATCCCTCTGGGAAGGTCTTCGGATGGAATTGTTCACGGATCAACTCAAAGGTACTTTCTGCACACTGTATATCCAATTAAAGACATCAGCCTCTTCTACATGTTTTCCATTAAGACCGGATGCAGCTCTTAGAGATTATAAAGATGAATATATATGTCTGTCTACTGCATGATACGAACAATTCATCAAACAGGTTGGTGCTAATGGGTTAAGGATCTGTATATCTTTTACACAGAAAGAAACCAGCACTTTGTGACACAGGAAACCACTGAGAAGTAAATCACTTAGTCTATCTGCTGTCTCTAACACAGACACAATTTGGAAATAGGAGTCTACGGTCTGAAAGGAGCATTGAGATCCATCTGACGAGTTCCAAAGTGAAAATTCGGGAACGCTCTTCCTCTATCCCTCCGCCTTAACTCCTCCTTCCCCGCCTGAAGACGTTCCTCTTCAACCATCCCTATGGTCACCTCCTCCCTCCCCCTGGCTCAGCATCATGCTCTGCTACTGTGAAGTGCTCTGAGACGCTACCCTGTGTGAGGGGCATTATATAAATCCACGTTGTTGTTGTGTTGTTATTGTTGATGATGAAAACAAACCTCAGAGGAACAATTCTAAGGTGTAATATGATAATGACAAGTGATAATTATAAATAATGATTGAATTTGAGCAGCTGTTCCTCCCAACTTTGTCAGAACAATAGGGACCCACACCATCCCATGGTCAGAGTTGGAATTCCCAGCCATCAAATCCCAGCCAGTTCTCAGATATGGGCTTTAATCCAGCAAATAAAATTGGTTCATCTCATCACATACCTATAATTATCGCGTACTGCAAATTCCCCTGCCTGCAAACATTCTTTTAATAGCTCAAAGTTAGGCATATCAGTTTATTTTCTAAAACAGGATCCAGAATATTTGTGTTCAGCTGTTTCTAAACCTACATGTGTGAAACTTCGTCATGTTTTACACATGGTGCTTTACTAATTCCACATTAATTCTGATATGTTTTGCAGTTGTCCACGATTGGACAGGGTTTGTCAGGATAAACCATGTCTCAATAATGGTGTTTGTCAAGATCATTGGTCATTCTATTTGTGCCAGTGTCCTGATGGTTTTATTGGACCCCATTGTGAAGAAGGTATGTGATTTTATTATTGTAGTACTTGCAATAATAACACAATAGTGATAGTAATAAATTAATAATCCTTACATTTGATATATCTACCTTTCATGTCAAGAAGACGTCTTATAGTGCTTAGTGCTTCACAGAATGTACTGTGAAGTGTAGCGACTTGTATTTTGTAGGTGCACATGGCAGTCAATTTGTGTGCTCCCACAAACAACCATTAAATGAATGACCAATATTATTTCAGGACAGCACAGCCAGCCTGGCTCATCGGCAGGACTTGGAAGGTCAGACCAGTCACTGGGGGCAGGGAATTATCCCACTCAGCTCCTGTTAACCCTGCAAACCAAAGCTCTAATGGGTAGAGTGGTCCTAACTGGACAAGCAGCGGGAAAACTTGCCAGTCAGTGATATCAATGGCAAGCTAAGCAGTTTTAGTTGGTTAGACTCTAGCAGTACCCCAACACACACTCTGTGTCACAAAGTCTTGGCTTTTGCCAATCAGCGTCTAATACTTCGTTTCTGGAATTAGGTAAGCAGGATGTGTCCCTCCAGGGAGAGAGTGTGCATTCCATTCCAATAATCTATCTCTGGGATTTCCATGTGTAGGTGGGATGCTTGGAATTCTAAGTTTATTTTGGATACTCTTAAGCATGGGTGATGGGTTTCCGCATGTGTCGACACCCAGCTGACCCCAAAAAATATTATCTGGGGAATTGTTGGCCAGGAAACTGGGAGAAACCACCTTCTCTAAACAATGCAATAATAATTATGTATTATAACAGTTTTAGTAATCTTTGTGGAGATCACTTGAAGTATATTCTAACTCAATACTATGTGCAAGAAGTAATAGGACAATAGAAAGATAACCACAAGAGAGGTCCAACAAAACTGTTGGTAATGTTAGAAATAAATGGCCTGTTAATACAAGATGCATTCTTTAAGCTACACATTGGGCATCAATATAATACTATAGGGCATCACTAATTACCTCACATATTAACTTATTTCTTATCAGCAATCTTCACAAATAAAGACAGTATGAAATCTCACCCACTCACTTTCGCCCACGAGCCTATAATATAAGTAGAGATTAGTGAAATGAGCTTTGCGAAGAGACTCAAGAACATTCTAACTGTAATTTTTGTGCTGATTTACTATCATGCAGGAAATGACAGCCTAGGCATTGGGGCTATCTCAGGCAGTATTAGCACCAGTGTGCAAATTTCAAAATGATTCCAAAAGATCCTTGCATTTGAAATAGTGCCTTTCACATCATAACATCTGAAAGCGCTTTATAAGTAACTACTGTCAAATATAGTGATTGCATGCTGTAGAGAAACAACATAATAATGTTCCCCATTAAGTGAATGATCAGTTTATCTGGAGGAACACTGGCCAGGTTGCCAGGAGAAACAATTAGTGCCTTATCATGTTGTTGAGACGTCACAAAGTGCTTGTTCTCCTAGTCCATTGTTCTTAAGCAGGACATTGAACATAGATGCCAAATGCAATATTTACAGGAGGGAAATTTCCTAACTTAACTTTATGCAGAGAGTTGTTAGGATATGAAATGCCCTGCCAGGAATGGTGGTCAGACAGCATTATATCAGTTTTCAAGAGAGAACTAGTTAGATATCAAAAACAGAGTCATTTACAAGCAGCTTTGAGACGTCTGAAAGACGTGAAAAGCGCAATATCAAATGCAAGGATTATTATTATTATCTGGGAAATAGGCAAAGTAAATGGAGCTGAATGTATATCTCCTTCAAAGATCCAGAACAATGGGTTGATTGGCCATCTGTGCTGTAAAGTATCATCGTTCTAAGATTGTTGACGAAATGTATGGTCAAAGAAATGTGTTTTCAAGAGGGTTTTGAAGAGAGGGGGTAGAGAATTCTAGAGCGCTGAGACATAGTGTTAAAGGCTCAGCTACCAATGGTACGGAAGGAGTGAGGGAGCAGTGGTGAAGCAGAGTCAGAGAGGAGGGCACAGGTAGTTGAAGAATCCATAGGAAGTGAGCAGCAAGACCAGGAAAAGGATTTGAAGGTCAGGATGGGGCTTTTAAACAGAATCCACTGGATGAGGGGGAGGAGGGCCTTCCTCATTTAAAGTTAACACAAAACAAATATTATCAAGGCCTGGAATTCAGCATCAGGAACAAAGCCAGAAACTGGGAGCAGCAAATTACATTATCCAAAGCTGGGGAATAGGAACAGTAGGTGACCCACAAAATATAGTCAATTCACTTTACAGTGTATTCTGTGAAGTTCTTTGATACGTCTCATGACGTGATAAAGCGCTTTATCAAATATAAGGATTATTATTATAAAATTTGGAACTAGGAGCAACTGGTGGGTCAGTCTGAATCTGTCATTGAGAAGACACTAAATCAATTTCACAGCAAAATGCTCAGATACACAGAATGGAAAGATATTCCAAATACCCATATATCCAGAGTTATAGTGGATACCTACAAATGTTAATGGATGTGACATCGGCAGATGGTGGTGGTGGTAAAGGGCATAACGCAGAGAAAGAAGTGACTGGTTAGTCTAAGTGCCACTGGGCAAGATATGATCAAGAGAATGTTTTGGGGGAGAGCTTGAGGACTGCAAAACACTGCCTTGAAAAGAAGTGCCACATGACCTGTTAGTATAAAGTTCACAGTGCAAGAAATGTGCAACAGCAATTCATTGTAGATTATTGCTGCTCAAGTAAATAATGGAGTCCATGAGGAGTGTTTAGCAGGACTTTAGAAGCAGTATATGCCTCTCTAATCTACTGCAATTCTTTGAAAAGGTAATTATACTGGTGGGTGAGAATGAGCAGCCAATATCACTTACTAGGATTTTCAGAAGACATTCGATAAACCTTAACATATGGGTTTTTTCTACTGTAATAAAGGTTCACACTACTTAGTTAATTGGATTGAAAATTAGTTTGACAAACGAAAGCAGAAGGTAATGATAAATGCTAAGCTCTGCCTGGGAGCAGTAACTGAGGTATTATACTCTGTTAGGTAATGTTTGGTGACCTAGAATCATACGCGCCAATAAAATACTGAATTAATATTTTGACCTGCTTCTCAGCCATCCTATAGACACTACAAGAAGACATGTCAAATTTATTCTGACCTCAAGATATTAACTTATACTTTCTACTATAAACTCACATTATCAAAGTTTATAGAGCGTACAATGTTCTCACTTGTTAAGATCTGTAAATTTATCTATGCTCAGAGAATCCCTCACGATATTAATGAAGACAGTACAAGACAGTTACAATACTTTACACTGTATCCTGTGAAGAGCTTTGAGATGCTCAACAATGTTTTATGTCAAATGTAAGGGTTATTATTATCTAAACCCAGGAGAAAACGTTAATGTTAAAGGGGAAAGAGCAAAAATAGCTTCCTGTTTCTTCACCAAGAAGATTAGGATGAATCCAGACTGTTAAAAATATAATTATTATTTCATAACTTGTTTGCATCCAGGAAGTCAGCATATTCAACTCAATAAGTTAGTTTGGATTTATTAGGTAGGTATGCAAGATTGGGGTCTTGGAAGAGTGAGGCAAAAGTCTAAGAAAATGGGAGTTACATGAATGGGAGCAAGGCTTGTTCTGCCAGATAGGGGAGTAGGAGTCAATGCTACTGAAAGAATGTTTATGGTAAACTGCTTGATTTCTGATGGGGAGTAGCAAAGGGATATAGCCAATCTAATGGATTCATATGTTTGCCTTAAATGAAGATATTTCACAAGATACAGCTCTAAGTCTGAATGGTCAGACTCATCTTGACTATTTTATCAAGGAAAGCTACAAACGTAGACAACTATTAAAGATTCACACAAAGGGAAAAAGAAATGGAAAAGAAGACAGCTCTGTGGAACTACAGTTCAGAACACGATCGCCAAAAGGGGTACTTCTCCACATAGAAGGAAACGCAAGCTATGCCACTGTTATGGTAAGTTTTATTTTCAGTATTTTAATTAATAAAATTACCTAAATTAACAATAATCCTTACATTGGTATTGCGCCTTATTACATTTCGAGACGTCTCAGAATATGCTGTCCCAGCGCCTTGGGACGTCCTCCCGACGTGAAAGATGCTCTATAAATGGAATCTTGTTGTTGTTGTAAAGGAGATTGACTATATATTTTGTTGGTAGTCAGTTTGTGCACAACAATGTCCCACAAATAATCAGGGAGTGAGTGACCAATTTTATTTTATTAATTTATGATAATTTCTTTGAAATATATTGATTAAAGATGAATCGACTTAACCAGTGAGAGTATTATTAAGAATTCTGAAATAATCTGTAATTGGGGCAAATTCACCACAAGTCCACAGCAATAAATATTCTGATTAGGAGGATCCTTCAACCTGTTTGATCTAAACCTTTCAGAATATCCAACCATTACAGCATCAGGCAGTTTCTTAAATGAATCCAGTGTCTCAACTTCAACCATGTTTCATGGTAAGCAATTCCAGCTGCTGATTATAGCTTCTGTCTCAAAAACAATTTTTTTATTTTTTTCAATGGTTTGGAGCCCCATTTGTCATGTCCAAAAGTCTTTTCAGTGGAATTGAAGTTTGCTTGTTACGCTCATTGCAGCTTGCAGTGAATAGGAAATCTTACAAAGGTACATGATTAGATAGAATCTATTGTCTTTATAAGGACATTGGAAACGTATATTCCTGTTGATATAATGTGAGTTATAATAACAAATAGTTATTCAATGTGCTGACAAGCAACATTTACTTTTAGAGAGATGCATGGAAATTTTCATTTATTTATTATGAACATACAACTTGCATTTATATAGTGCTCCTCACGCAGGGTAGCGTCCCAGAGCGCTTGATTGAATAATTTCTATTCATTTTACTGCAGAATGTATGCAGCGAATTCAGTGACTATTATGTTAACCGTGATGCTATTGCTATTGGCTTTTTAAACCATGAAAGGAGCCTAATTGACTCCAGACTGTTTCAGAAGCCAGGAATAAGGAATAGACAGTTGTGTTTCGAACATCCATTGTTCCACAGATAAGATATGAACTTCACAATAAAACATGGTGTTGAAAGTTATATTAACAATATAATAATCCTTGAATTTGATATTTTCACAGAATATATTGAGAATTGAATTGATGCTGTATCTTGTTGGCAAAACTATCAAGTTATATAGACCCAAGATGTCACCTACTAATTTGTCTTAAAATTTAAGATCACACAGAATTGTGGAAAATTCTTAAGCTTGGTGTTGATTTGGAAGCTGGTTTTCCACACTTTTTAAAAAAAGAGATGGCTTCCAAATAGAATGAATTATAAGAATTTTTCAGACTTTTGCATAATCTTAAATTTTGAGGCAAAATGGTCTAACTAGGTGAAAATTCAGTCCTGATGTGACTTGTGAAATCTCACTTCAATCCCTTGTCTATTGGTGTGAACTGAGCTTTGTTACAAGGTTGATGGGGGCTTCGCAAGCTCATATTTGAGAACAACTTGAAGTGTTCATGCCCAAAAAACTATAAAGAATTAGTACTACATTAAGATGCAGCCTCAGGAGAATGTGTGCTTAATTCTTTAATATGAATTAATAATTAAACCAACCACCAGCTTACTGCAACTGGCACTTAAAAATTATTCAAATTGAAATTGAAGTATGAATTTGTTTTCCCTCCTATTTGTTATGTTGCGTTTCTGTGTATTCTGCAGTGTCTCTCTCCGCCTTCCCACGACAAATGTATTGCATGAATTTCTGATCAGATGAGGACCCAGGGAGCACTCCACCACTGCAGATGCTATTAGAAATGCAGAGACACTGTCACCGTCAGACTGGCCTAGTGAGATCAGGACCTCACACCCATGGGAAACATTAGGGAAGATGTGCATTCACTCTATTGGAAAAGGGCAGTGCTCCATTATAAGCACATCGCTCACTTTAATGAGCAGAGGAAATCACTGCACTAAATATAAATGTAAAATTGTAATGAACATGCAGATAGTTGAGATTGTGGAATGCGTGCGTCCGAAACAGATGGTTATCGATCCAAGTCCTCTGTTGGCCATCTGGCATGGCTAACATGCCTGTAACGTATTGGTTAGAGCGAGAGGACCTGGGTTCGATTCCCAGCAGGGCGAAACCTTAGGCAGGTTTCCTTACTCCACACGCCTCTGTTTACCCAGCATTAAGTAGGAACCTGATTGTTAGTCGATTCGTGGATTGCTTTTCCGGGGCTAATAATCCCTTCAAAAAAAAAACTAATAAAAACTAACAATAATTTGATCACTCAATCCATAACTGGTTTTGGGACATTGCTGTGTGCAATTGGCAATTGACATGTTATCACTTGATAGCTATGCCCCTGGATCCTAGAACTACTCCACTGAAAGAAAGACAATGATAACCCGAGTTATCTCACCCTCTAACAGCTTTTCTATTGACCAGTCAGGGATAATGAAAGTGCCAATCCCATAATTGAAGAAAAATGAGAGAAAAAAATGAAAAGAAGCATATCATTTATCCTTTTCAGATCATGAATGGCTCGATGAATTATATTTCTGAGACTGGTTTGGCAGAACGCGTTGAACATTATATAACAGACGTCTCGGTTTCCGACGGGAGGTGGCATACTTTCAAAGTGGAGAGATATGACCGTGTCACCCAGTTGATTCTGGACAAGAATTACCTCCACAACATCTCATATCCCACTCATCAATTCGGAGATGTTGAATCGTTTATGGTTTCCTTAGGGGCAGGACCACAAAAAATACCAGGTAAATTCTTGTACAATCTTGTTCATTTGACAACAGCAACATTTATATAGCGCTTTCCAAAGACAAAGTCTGACACTGAGTAGGGGAGAGGGCGAGGTGACCATAGGCGTGGTCAAAGAGGTAGGTTCTAAAGCGGATGTATATTAATATTGTTTGTCATGTGGCCTCTCACTTTGCTCTAAAATATAACTAGCTGAAATGTTGCAAATACTCTAAACATCGATTAAGTAACAAATTTGCAGGGGCACCTTGAGTTCAAAGTCTGTTTTGAACAACACATTTAGCATTGATTCAATGTGAAAACTGCAGTGTGCAGTACAACTCCAGTTTGAGAGTTATCGATTTGATTTTAAATCTTGTTCCAGAAACCAGCTCCCAGAGGTAGACTTGGAACAGAATAGAATTGAATTGAAGGCCATTGAAATGAACTTCTAAACATTTGAGAAATGTGTTGGTTATTGTTTTCAATGTTATTTAAGAGTCATTTTTAATCCTGAAGTCATATAATAATAATAATCCTTGCATTTGATGTAGCACCTTATCATATCATCGAGACATCTCAAAGAGTTTCACAGGATATATTGTACAGTGGTATTAACTGAATTTTTTTTGTGGGCAAAACGCAGCACCCAGTTTTGCACAGCAATGTCCCATAAACAGTCATGAAATGAATAACCAATTTTATTTGGGGGATTTGTAGGCCAGGACACAGGGAGAAACTCCCTTCTCTTTTTGAATGGCGCCATGGGATCCTTAACTTCCACCTAAACAGGTGGTCGGCATCTCGATTTAACATCTTGTCAAAAGGACAGCACCTCTGACAATGCAACAACCCTCACTACCTCATTGGAGTGTCACCTTAGATGATGTAATTCCAAATCCTGACATGGGGCTTGAACCTACAACCTTTCAAAATGAACTCGAATAGACATCTAAAAAGAAGTGCTTTTAAGGGTACGGGGAAAGGGCAGGTAAATATGACTGAAAGGATTGTTCTTTAAAAGAACCAGCACAAAGCTTTCTTCTGTCCTGTAAATTTATGTCCTGCAAATCTATGTTCTTCCTCATAGATTGCCCTATTGTGGTTGAAAGTAACATTTACTCTGACAGCATGTAAAATGTATGTGGGAGGAAGTTATTGCACTATAATCTGTGTGTGATTACATATAGGAACTTAAATGAGCATGTAACAAAATATGTCTCATGGCTTTCGAGCCATGCTCCCTCCAGACTATGCAATAGATATTCTATCATGGGTTTCATGTCACCCACACAATGTCGAGCCAGAACTCTCCATATAGAGACTCCGTGAACTCCTCAAAACAATTGAAGAAACTACAAAATATTCTTCCAATGTTTCCATTATTATTCAAATATTTACTTATTGCCGTCCACAAAGGCCTGGTTCGGTGCTATTTCACTCCATGTAACTCTATGTAAATCCTGTTGAGATGTCTCAACAAGGTAATGAGGTACTATATCAAATACAAGAATTATTATTGTTGTTACTATTTCAAACCACACTATGGAGCAGAAATTCCTCCTGGGTCTAGATTTAGTGCAACATTTTGCAGCTTTCAGAATTTGGCAAATGGTTGAATTCGATTTTAATTTTGAATCCGTTTTCTGAAGTTCTTAAAAGAACTGGAAGGAAACTAGTGTCAAAATCATAGAATCCTATGGCACAGAAGAAGGCCATTTGGCCCATTGTTCTGTGCCGGCTCTTTGGAAGAGCTTTCCAATTATTCCCTGCTCTTACCCCATAGCTCTGCAATTTTTTTCTTTTCAAATATATATCCAATCCCTTTCAAAAATTATTAAATCTGCTTCCATCATCCTTTCCAGTGCATTTGCTAATCATCTTAAATCTTAAATTAAAGACTATATTTAAGAATTTGACAATAATGGATGCTCTGAAATGTTACGTTAATAGAGTAAATCCAGCCCAAGGTTGGATTTGAACCCACGTGATTGGTATATTCACGGTGATGGGTTAGAACATAAGAACATAAGAATTAGGAGCAGGAGTAGGCATTCGGCCCATCGAGCCTGCCCCGCCATTCGATAAGATCATGGCTGATCTTCTGACCTAACTCTAATTAGCTAATTGACATTTGAGAGCAGAGAAAACAACGAAAAGTCTCTCAGTGATGCCATTGGAACCCCACCACAGTAAAAGCATTAATTTGGTTACCATTTAAAATTCAAGGTCAATGTTAATATTTTCCATCATTTTTATTACCTAGCAAACAGAATAAAAAATGACGAGCCTTGAGATAAGATTTATATCCTGTTTTGGGCTGATCTGGGATCTCATAGCCAATAAGTTCACTTTCATTGTAGTCCATTATAATCATAATAATAATAATCCTTGCATTTGATATAGCGCTTTTCACGTCTTCTAGATGTCCCAAAGCGCTTCACAGGATATACTGTAAAGTAAATTGACTGTATATTTGTGGGCGAACGTGGAAACCAATTGCGCACAGCAATGTCCCACAAACAGTCGTGGATTGAAAATGACCAATTTATTATTGTTTTATTTTTTTGGAGGGATTATTATTAGGCTCTGTGTGGAGTAAGGAAACTTGCCCAAGGTTTTGCCCTGTGCCTGGAATTGAACTCGGGTCTCTCACTTGCAAAGCGAGTACTCTAACCACTGAGCTACAGGACTCCCTCAGTGTTATGTGACTCTTATCCTAAAGCCCCTTTTCATATAGCCTGTTTCTACCATCCAATGGGTTATGTATTTCAAATTAAAATGATACAAGTTAGCAATCTGAATTTTATTGTTAATTAAGAATTGACGTGACACTCAGATTTTGATTGTTACTGTCACCATGACTGGTGACAGCCATTCATCACCAATCTTTCATTTCATATATTGGTTGTCAAAAATTTGCTCATAATGATAATGCTTACATTTGTATAGCGCCTTTAACGTCAGGAGGACATCTCAAAGGACTCTGTAGGATATCTTGTAAAGGGGAGTGAATGTATATTTCTAGGCAAACATGGCGTACAAGGAAAATGGCAGGTAAATATCACCTCAAAGCAGGATGAATCACCCCAGGACATATCTTGCAGAGAATCTGGCTTTGATCCTTGATCGTCCAGGATTTGAGGTGTGAATATTTTAAAAGAATTTCTTCAGCTATGGAAAAGCTACACTTCAATCCATTTATGATTATAACATTTCGGAAAACTCTAGAGAATAGTAAACATTTAGTCAAGAATGCAACTCAAATAACAAAACAATTCATTAAAATGCACTGCAATCTCTTTTTTATGGTGATGGTGCAGTTAATGAAAGCAATCAGCTGCATATTAACATTTGTGAACAGCACAACCACTCTGACTTAGTAAATTATGTTAAAAGCAAAACCGTTTCCTCCTTCATTTATCAAAGCAAAGCAGGACACTCAGTCGAAGGGAACGTTTAGTAATGGAAGGCAGTAGCAATAATGCATATTATTGGAACATGTGCATTAAGAATAAGCATTTGCCCTAAGTGAATTTTGGGAAAGATTAATAGCAAAAATCTTCACCTTCTTGATTCTGCTGGTTAAGTACAAATAGTTATAGCTCTCAAGGACATCACAAGAACAAGTTGAATGATTGGTCTTAAAAGCTGTCTCACCCGAAACTACCTTACACAACATCTGAATTGCAATCATTGACAAGTGGATTTTTGCTTCCAGTCGAAACAGTGATCTGTTTGTCCCGAGAGTCAATAGTGACTACAGAGAAGTGTCATTTATGTGGTTTGAAGCAATCTTGCATGACTGGATTTCTGTATTTATTGTGAAACTGTAATAATGTCACACAGGAATGAAATGACAAGGAAGCTATTTAAACATATTTGAAACCTTATCAGATTTGTTTTAAAAGGTGATAGAAAAATATATGCAGTGCTTGTAATTGTATATGCTGATTCTCATGCTATATCGTTCTGACACCACTTTAAACACACCAAGTGTGTTTTGAACATCCAAATAGGAATTGCGTAAACATTGACTGTTTATTCACAGCACATTGATCAATTAGGATTAGGTAATGACAGGCTGAATGGCACAGTCAATACATCAGCCTGAATTATTGAGGTCAAAATATTTGGCCTGCAACAGGCTGTACAAGTGTTAGCCACTGAATCCTACAAATAGTTGCCTTAAACATAAATAAGTTGGTTGCCAATACATAGCTCAGAAATGCATCATGAGTAAACTATGATGCGTTTCTTCTTTCTGCAAGGCCACTATCTCAACAGAAAGTGGCCTTGCAGAAACAAGTCCTGGAGATTTTGTG